TAGTATATATTAGTATATATAGTGTGTATATATGTATAACGTTTTTTTTTTAACTTTCTACTGATAAAAAAATTTGTGAAAATACACAATGAAAATCACAAATATTAAGGTGTTAAACTGTTTTCAATGTTAATAATCATAAGAAATGTTTCTTGAACAAAACAAGCATATTATCAGCACATTAGACTGATCAGAGACTGATTTCAAAAGGATCATGTGATGCTGAAAACTGAAGTAATGGCTGCAGAAAATTGTGCTTCACCACAACTTCACAGTATATATATATATATATATTTTTTTTTTTTTTAAGCATCATTATTCCAGTCTTCAGTGTAAAATTATCCTCCTGAAATCATTCTAATACGTTGATTTTTTTTTTTTTTTGCCGATTGTATGTATTTGATGCTGATCGTATATTATTTTTTTTATATTTACATATATATATTATTGAATTGTTTGATTGGGCAGTGTTAGGATTTCAGCCTAATTACCACAAATCGCAAAATCTTATAGCAGGAAAATGTTGACGCATGAGCTAAAGAGATGTAAGCATTAGTCTTTTCTTTAACTGAGATGCATGTGAGGCCAAACAGACCATTATGATCACCACCTATAAGGCTGCAGCACTAATTCTTTACTAAAACCACATGACTCCGTGAACATGAATTCATCCTGTACTAAACTGTAGGATGAGTCGGTTCTCTGGGAGTGAGTGTGTGTCACGCACCTCTTGGGGAAGTTCCAGCTTGGTGCGGTCATCCTGGCCGTTGGAGTGCAGACCCATGAGGTAGGGCACAGGAGCGTCCAGGAAGTGGAGCAGTGAAGCGGGCAGGATGGGCACGTACACATGCTGCCATTGGAAGGGGAACATTAAAGCTGTGATGCTCTCCGCTACCGTCATCAGCCGCTGGTAATCTGGTCAGCAGAAAGGACACAGACACATTCAGACACGTCACTCTCAAAACAGGGTTACTCGACAACACGCTGTCTGTTCATTCACCCAATGCTGTATATTACTCACAAAAATGGCAAGAGGCTGTTTGAAATCACCATCTATCTACATCATCATATGTGTCATAATTTTCTCACTCTCGTGTTGTTCCAAACCTGTAGGAATTTTTTTTATGGAACATAAAAAAATATATATTTTAAAGAATGTTGGTGACAAAACTTCCCATTAACTTCCATTGCATTTTTTATCCAGAAGTCAATGGGAACCGAAATTGTTTGGTTAGCAACATATCTTCTTTCAAGTTCCACAGAAGAAAGAAAGTCATACAAGTTTGGAACAAAGTGAGAGTGAGTAAACTATGACAGAATTTTTATTTATGGGTAAAAATGCTTTTATGAGGATCGACAGTCTTTACTCCATTATTCGATTTTTTTGTACTGTAATTTGTGTGCGTGTGTGTGTGTGTGTGTGAGAGAGAGAAAGAGAGAATGTTCTTGACATTCACTCATTCGGTTTTCATAGAAATGCTTAAATTGAGTGCTTCTTAAGTGACTAGCACACAATGCATTCTCAAGTGGGTATTTAAAACTAAAAATACCACAATATAGAGAATTATTCTGTATTATTCTCATACACACAAAACCGAAATAAAATGGGATTTTTTTCTTTTTATGATTTCCACCCTGCAGTCACGACTGTCAGAGAGACAGGAATACTAAACCAGTCTCTAAGCACCCTGAGTAACAACAACAGGCCTATTCACAAACACACACACACACACACACACACACACACACACACAGAGTCCTCACATCCCACATACTGATAAAAATTGGTGTAGAATTTACTTGGAAAAAGCTTTAAGTAAACACACACACACACACACACACACACACACACACACACACACACAGAGAGTCCTCACATCCCACATACTGATAAAAATTGGTGTAGAATTTACTTGGAAAAAGCTTTAAGTAAACCATTTTCACTCAGAAATTGCTAGTAAATGTCACGCATAATTACAAAGAAATGGCAAGAACCATTCTGAATTACATATGAAATTTTATGTACGTTCTAAACAAGGATTCGTCAAATTTGTAAATAAAAAGATTACTGGAGTACATTTTACAAAAATACTATTTCAGTCTTTCAAAATGTCATGCTTAATTCAATGTGCTACCATTTCTTTGTAATTATTTGTGACATTAACCAGCAATTTCAGTTTCATTGCTTTTAATGATAAAAATCAGCAAGTGTCAGAGGTACCATAACAAACCTGCCTTATTCATTCCTTCATTAATATAATATGATTTAATTTAATTTAAGGTTTACTTCATTTTACCTAAATAAAAGGTGTTTTCATAAATATAAATAATTTAAACAATTGAATATTATTTAATGGGAATTAACATTGAAGTTATAATGATATATTAATTCAAGTAAAAATCTTTACATCAGATGACACGTAAAGCTAATTGACTGTCCTGTGACCGAGGCACAAGTCTATATAGGGAAATGAGCAGTAACTGCCAAACATCTATTGATCTTGCAGCAGATGCCCGTCTCAAGGATTCACGTACCCGGTAAAAGAGCCAGGGTATTTATATATGCTATAAATGTGCCTGTTATTTATAGAACAACGTAGGCTATCTTGTTTTTTTAGAGCTCACACCCCTGCTGTGTGTGTGTGCACCTCCATCTAATGACATCAAGTCCTTTTCATTCTGGACTCTCACTGTCCACAAATATTACACTATAAGCATGAGCCTTCTGGATCCAGAAAAGGATGATGTAATTTCTAGCCAATCATATTTATGCTGCATCACCACCATCCTCCTTATTCGGAGGAAGGTTGCTAAGCAACACCACAGCAATGCATCCACCCAGCCCCCTGTCGCTTTGTAGTTGCCTCCTGTAATTCACTCTTCCTTGATGGTGTAATTGATCCAATCAGCACATCTGCCACTGAATAGCAAAACAACCTTCCCATGCTGCTTTAAATTCAATCTAAAATGGCCTTCTAAGAATTTCCAGCAGGAACCTGCCAATTATATTGCGTTTGACATGTGAATCAAACAAAAAAAAAAATCAGTAAAATTTACGGTAAAAAAACGGCAGCTGTGGTTGCTGGAATTTTACCGTAAAAAATACGGTAGCAACGTTTTAGGTTTTACAGTTTTAACTTAAATTTACAGTTAAATACCGTAATTTCATTAACAGATATAATGTTAATATACCATCCTATTGAAGTACTGAAATCTGTTTTGTACCTTTGTAATACACTGATAACCACCAAATGCAGGTGGTGATGAGAAAGTCACATGATGAACCAAAGCCCATCACAAGCAGCTTTTAAATAATAACATGTATAGAAGGTGCACAGCGTCATTCACACAAACACCATCATGGTAACACATGAAACTAAAATAATGCAATAAACATTCATTTAACAACATTAGGTGTAACACACAACCCTAATATACAAAACTGATAAGAAAAAACTAAGAAGAAACATAGTTATTTCAACAAAAAAACATCAAATTTGAAATGTAACGCAGGGAATTCTGGGAATGTCAATTTACGGTTATTCCCTGTAAATTATACGGTCTTTTTCACTTCCAAAAACGGTATACTACCATAAAATTAATGTCCAATACAGTTTTTCACTGTATACAGTAGGGGAATTTACCGTTAACCATTTCACAGGTTTTTACTGTAGCATTTTTACAGTGTTTTACCGTTAAATTCACGCTCATTTTTTACAGTGATAAGTGACATTTCCATAAATTATGATATTTTGACATATCGCGAAATTGGACGAAACTTTCAAACATATATTATATGCAATGATAAACACAAAAGACTAAGTAATTTATTCAATTTTAATCAACTTCTTAACGTATCCACCTCAATACTCCACAGAAAGCTTTCCTGAGTTTCATTTGCAAAACTACCAGGAGATTCTGAGAAAAGGGTGGGTTGTGAGTTTGACAAGAATTAGAGAGAACAAAGAGCTAAGATGAGCTCACACGGACACGGAGATGGAGAGAGAGTGTGAAAAGAGAGAAAGAGCATGTCGCAGTACACTGCAATATAACCACCTGTTTATTCTCTTGTCTAAAACCAGCCTGTACTAAACAGAACAAGCCAAAAATCAAGAAAATTAGCTAAAATCAATGTTTGCATGGCATTTATTTATTCAGGTATCTGCCAAGTTAGGTTAAGGCCGTCAGATTTAAATTGGCTTTAATTTGAAAAAGCTAGTGTAAGTTGGCAGCAAAAAGCAATACTAATTTGTGTCAAAAAGCATTCACTAAAGTAAAGTCTCTGCATTTACTCACTTTGGACTATTAAGAACAATGATTTATGACTTTGAGCAAATTACAGCCAAGTCATTAACAATTTACATAACCTTGATGAGATTTTCCATTTTCCATTACATTACAGCCATAGACCAGAATTGATTGTACTTGTTAGCTGCTAGAATGCAGGGGGTCAAGGTTTGCTTAGTTTGCATGAACAGTCAGCTAATGCTGGTAGATGCCATAACTACACCATTGCAAACAGATTTTTTTCTCCAATGACAATCATTCAAAAGTAGTCATGTATTATATTGTAAGGTTGCAAAGGGATGGTACATTTCCTGAAACTTTCCAAAATTTTCTGAAAGTTTCCTAAATTTACTCTGCTCCTCTGCAACGCTAATTCTATGTATGTGTATTCCAACGACATTTGATGCTAGCATGTTTACATTAGCACATGCTAAGCTAACAACACGATTCTCCAATAAGCATAAAAAACATAACACACTCAAACATTGTTAAAAAAAATCTTTAGTATGGGAATCATTTTTCATGCCTTAAAATGCAGTCTATGTAGGCAGCTTACTAGGTTTTGTAAACAAATACCCACAACAATTGCATCTGTGAGTCGAAACAATTCATAAGTTTCAATTAATAAGCAAATCTCATGTAGCCAGACTTTTGAGTTTCATCAAAAATCTGGTACACTTTACACTTCTGGCCAAGAATGACTTGTTTAAACAGGATGGGGCCATCTGACTGACATGAAAGGCCCCCAACATTTGATAACTGGCGTTTACATGTGAGCTACTAAGTGTCTAAACCCAAAACACTGCTGGGCATCTTTAAAAGGCACCACAAATCTTGGTAACTTTGTCAAATCCAATTTCTCCTTACAAGAACTAATAGGTACAGTCTGGCAGCACAGATTTCCTGCAGACACTTTCCCTCCTGGAAATTGCGTAAAACCAGACAATCAGATTAGAGCTTGCCATTTTTGTGTGGAATTTCTCTGAAGCTGAGATTAATCATAAGCAGGCACTAGGTCTACAGTAGTATGAGTGATAGTTACTCACGTTGCGAGTACAGAAGGATCTGGATCTCCAGCAGTGCACAGGTGAAGAGCTGTAGCACGTTCTCCACGCCTAGCAGCTCAAACACCTCCTGCAGGGGAAAGTCAAAGAGGGGCAGCTCAGCCGTGCTGGGTCTCTGACACACCACTGGCCCGTATACGCCCGAGAACTTCAAGGAACGCCCGGCCGGTGGTAGCGGGACCTCGTAGAGGACATTGTAGACGTAGCTCTCCAGCGGCATCGGCGGGGGCTGAGGTGAGGTGACGGCCTGGTGCAGCTGTTCCAGAACCCTTCTGCAGGCGTGGGCGAAGGCCATGGGTGTGATCAGGCAGATGCATTTGGACACATAGAGTGTGTCTCGGCTGATGTCGTAGGAGTTGAAACGCTGCAGTCGAGACAAAGAGGGAGCAGCGAGCAGTTGTTGAGGGGTGGAACGGGTGTCTTCTGCACTGCGAGGTGTGGGTGGCGTGTGCAAGATGTCGTACTGTTCTGCATTGTGCATGTGGTAGAGCGTCTGCATGGCACTGCAGATCTGCTTGCTGGTCACCTCCTCAAAGAAGGTGAGGGCAAAGCCGTAGGTTCGGGAGCCGTCCTCTCTCGTGATAATGAAAGAGTGGAACTGGGGCTTGCGGATGTCTGTCTGGGTGCGGAAGGACAAGCCCTTTGGCATACAGAGCTGTGGGGGAAACAACAAAAAAGGTCTGAGGATCTACAAATATTAAAAAGACTCTTTTTGACCTTCAACAAGTTCCCTTAATTTGCAGTAGCCCCTCACTGCAAAGCACAAGATCCAGGGGGCGTGGTTGGATCCATATCTAGGGGGGTGGAGATTGGTAGTTTTAGGGGTGGAGATGGGTGGGTTTAGGGATCAGGGGGTGGAGACGGGTAGGTTTAGGTATATGTAAGGTGGATCCTCCGAGTTGGATCTGGATCCAACCACGCCCCCTGGATCTTGTGTTCTGCAGTGAGGACCATCTCTTAATTTGAGCCACTTCATGTCTCATTTCATAGACCATTATAGCAGTGGTTCCAACCACGTTCCCTTGAAGCCTCCCAACACTGCACATTTAGTAAAGACTCCAAGCTTTGTAATGGGCGTGTCAGACAAATATTTTGCAAGACATGCAAAATGTGCACTGTTGGGGGCCCTTAAGGAACATGGCTGGGAGCCAATTCTATATAGCACCCATGCATATTAAGTGTCTGACATGGGCATTTTTAAGATTGTCGAGAAGCATGCATGTTTGGACAATTAACAGACGTCTGGAGAGTGCATATTTTCTATTTTCGTTGCAGTAAGCTGTGCTATATTCTAAATATAGACTGGGCAAAAGGGCGTTGTTAGGCATGACCAGCAGCACCATCTCAAGTGCCTTCCTGCTTTATGACAGGGTAAAGATACAGGACGGCTTGGTGTGGATTCCAAAAAGAATCACATTTTTGCAATTCTGAGGAATCAGGAATTGTTAGGCGACTCTAAAGCCCAAAATATACTTGTCTGTGGCTGTCTGTGTGGCATAATTGTTTTCATCAGCACAGTCCGCTGTTGTCCATGCACAAAAAACAGCACTTCTGAGTGCTTGAAAAAATATTGGCCACTAGTCGCATCTATCCACGCTCATGATCAAAAAAGTATACTTTGAAAGGCTTGCATTCTTAACTGTGCATGAGACGAAGCGGAACACAGAATATGAAGCATACCTGGGCCTTAAAGGGATAGTTCACCCAAAAATGAAAATTGCCCCATGATTTATTCACCTTCAAGCCATCCTAGGTGTATATGGCTTTCTTCTTTCAGACGAATAAAAGCTCTGGTGAGAATATGCTAGTCTCGTGAGAACCAAGTTTTATTTACAGCAAAGGAAAACCAGTCTACACTTGGCATATTTCAAAATAATTTTTTTTTTCAAATCCTTGTTTTGCACTTCTAATTCATGACCGGTGTTTTGTTTTGCTCTCTCTTCTGCGCTTTCGCGTTCATCACAACTCACCAGAGCTTACGCTACGCCTACGTCAATCCCTGGAACGCCACTCACTCGTGTGCGCATGTACGACAGTTAGCAGAAGCTAAAGATTACAGCTATAAAGTTTAAAATATGTATATTTTTCTTTCACAAAAACATCAATTCGCTTCAGAAGGCCTTTATTAACCACCCGGAGCCATGTGGAGTGCTTTTTATAATGGACAGATGCACATTATTGGACTTCAAAATCTCAACACCCATTCACTGCCATTATAAAGCTTAGAAAAGCAAGGACATTTTTAATATAACTCTGATTGTATTCATCTGAAAGAAGAAAGTCATATACACCAAGGATGGTAATTTTCATTTTTGGGTGAACTATTCCTTTAAAGTTTGGAGTGGAATCGACAACTTGTTCATTCACAATTTGATGATTCTTTCTCCAGGTTACTTTATTTTTCCCAGTATGTGGCAACCAGTGAGTGTCTTTTTGAATATTATGAGTGAGTCTTTAAATCATTCAATCAAAAGATTGGTTGACAGTTGTTCAAATTCACTCAGAAAATGCACTGAGCCATATTGTCATCAAAAAAATATAGTGCCTGACATGTAAAATAAGGTAGCTGAAAAGGTGTTTTGCATCAAAGCTGTTATTATATTGTAGAACTATCGCAAATTTTCATTGCATTTGCTGGTGGCCACCTTGCTTTCTAGAAACTAGAATTAGTTTTTGAAAAGCCCATATTGGTAGACCTCTGTGTGTCACTCACCATGCCCACTGCATCCTGGTCAAAAGGGTTCCACTCCACATTGTCGGGATAGTGCGCTAGAACTTTAGATTTAAAAGTTCTCCGCAGTGGACTCTGCTCAAAATTCTCACCTGAGATTCGGACAGAAAGAGAAAAAGAAAAGAAAAAGAAAGATAACCTCAGAAAGCTCTTTTCCAGCAATTATCCTCAAACCTTCATGGCAATTCAAGCAAACCACATCACAAAGGTGATATAGTGGTGTATATCTTAACATTAAATATTTACAACAATCTTCTGGAAGAAGACATTTGTTTAGAAATTTGCGAAAAACATAAGAAAACAGAAATCAAACCCAGTCAAAGCCAAAAGTGCTAGAACAGATGAAGCAGAGAAGTGTTGCAACGCATGGAAAAGATGTGCCTCGAAAACCATTCCAAGTGAACTAGTTACAGCCCACCAAGCGAACCTTGGCGAAAGTTCACCAAGCAGTGACTGACAAACAGTTTGGAGTGCTAATAAGTTGCTGCTGTTGAGAGAATAAGAGGAAATGGAGCTGAAGTGAGAAAGGACAGGAAGACAGGTGATCCCACACTACCCGACCACGCAGCCTTCTCACACATGAGCAAACAGCGGTGCTATAAAAGAAGTGCGTGGAAAGCTTAAAGGTTAGTGGGCACAGGCTGAGCTGTGGTTGATTGTGATACAAACAGGAGCACTGACTGCAGGAGTGGAGAGCATAGTGGGGGATGGGGGGTGAGGGGTTACCTTCTTTTGCACCCGCCAACTTTCCTCTGGCAACATCTCTGAATTTAGTAGCCTGTATATACTGGCATAAAGCTACACAACAGATAAAACGGTTAATCACTGACATGAGGAGGGTGAGTAATCTTCATTTATTACTTATAGACAACACCATTAAGGGCACTTCTCGAAGTCCATTAAGGAGGACAAGGAGTGTCGCTTAAAAATAAAATTAAGGAATAAATTATCAATGTATTAATTACAAAATAAAGTAATATTTATATTGTTGTTAAATGTCACAAAACAATAATAATAAATCAATCAATCACTTAAAAAAAATAAAATAAATATAGATATAAAAGTATTTGATTGCATGTTTAAAATATTGGTAAAATGCACAATTAAAACAATACATCAATCAAAAACATTTAAAAATACATTTGACATTGATTTCTTTAGCCATTTGCAAGTTGCTTTTTAAATGTTTTCCAACACCATGTGGAATAGTTCACCCAAAAATTAAGATTTGCAGAAAATGTATCCACCCTCAGGCTATCCAAGACGTAGATGAGTTTGTTTCTTCATCTGAACAGATTTGGAGAAATGTAGCATTGCATCACTTGCTCACCAGTGGATCCTCTGCAGTGAATGGGTGCCGTCAGAATGAGAGTCCAAACAGCTGATAAAAACATCAGTCCAGTCCATCAATTAATGTCTTTAAGTGAAAGCTGCGTGTTTGCAAGAAACAAATCCATCATTGATGTGTTTTAACTTTAAACTGTTGCATCTAGGCCAAAATATGAGTCCATAATGCATACAGAATTCATAATAACGCTTCCTCAAGTGAAAAAGTAAATCCCGGTTGTCCTTTCACATCAAAATCTACCAACACATATTTATTTAGAACTGTTTTTGCTTATAAACGGTGCTTTTATCTAAACATATTTCTCTCCTGATTCAGATTAATCAACTTTATCACTGGAGAATGCAATATTCTAGATAGAGGACTTGTACGTTAGCTGGAAGCAATAGTTAATTGATGGACTGACATTGTGTGGATTATCGTGATGTTTTTATCAGCTGTTTGGACTCTCATTCTGACGGCACCCATTCACTGCAGAGGACCTGCAGAGAAGTGATGTAATGCTAAATTTCTCCAAATCTGTTCCGATGAAGAAACAAACTCATCTATATCTCTGATGGCCTGAGGGGGAGTAAAGTTTCAGCAAACTTTCATTTTGGGTGCACTATTCCTTTAAAAATGTCTTGAAACCCATCTGTTCCATTCAGTTGCATTCTGTCCATTGTTGTGGAGATGCTAACTCCTTTTTCTGGTCACAGATTCTACAGATTCACTGTGTGTAATTTTGTTTTTGAGAATTCTGCTCGCCGTCACACACATTAGACACACGGCATGTTGAAACAACAGAGACTGAAGGCGGTGTGTGCATGCATGAATGTCACAGGTGTTTTCCTCTCCTCTGCTGCCCACACAGTAAAAACTGGCTAACTTAAAGCTCTTAGACAATGAACAATACAGCCTTGATGCAACAAGAACAGACTTGTCTCTGAGGGATATGTCCCTGAGGAATGTGTTCAGGTTTAAGTGGAGGGTAAGAACGTGCTTATTTGTCACCAATCTTCAGAGACAGGCTGCGTTCTTTATGTGTGGCATTTAAAGGACGAGCAACAAATTAAATCCGGTGGTTTCACCAGTCTGGGATCACAGGAATAAGGCCAGGAATGTGTGGAATTAACCAACACAAACACTAGGGGCTCTAGATCCGGCTTAAACACTGCCAGTGTCAAGCTACAAGTAACCACCAGAAACACCACCACAATCATTATATGACAACATGCTACAATATTTAGTATGTTGCTAAATTATGGATTTTTCTGTTCTTTATTAAAGTTTCTGATCTGTAATTTTTCATGAAAATCTTGTTCCCGTGTAGGTTATTGTTCTCTTTCCATTCGACTTCTTTATAATGTGTAAAATACTAAAATATGAGATTCAGCTCAGAATTGAAATAAAACTAGTAAAAGATAGTATGTAAACACTAGAAAATCTCAGGGGAATGCTACATAACGCCTGAGAAGCAAACACCAAGCCAGATGTTAAAATCTTTGTGTGTGGATAGCCAAATGATTCGATTATTAAAATATTATTCAGCTTTTAACTCTCATTACAACAGATATCTAAAGGAAAAATTATTTATATAATAATAGACTCTTACACTTTTTAGTCATCATGACCTTTAAGAAAAAATACTGGCATGTGTTGTGTAATATTCAGGGCTCGCAAAATTGCTAGCCTGACATCCCGGGGCTATTGTGTCTTCTAGTCGGGCTTCCAAAATGTATCACCGCCCTGCTGCTCCCATGTGTCCTTAAAAAGTCTTCAATTTAGTCGTATCAAATTTAAGACCATAAAAGTCTTAAATACCTTAAATGGTATAAGAAAAGTCTTAATCATAATAATAATCTATCATTATAATTTCAAGAGGTCTTAAATTTAAAGACGGAAAGACGAGATTCGCGATATGGCTTAATGTGACGTTTAAGGCTATGATTTCATTTCATAAATATGAGCTGCTTGTTTTGAAGTCAAAATGTGGCGCGGGTGTTTTTAAATGAATGTGTCTCTAAAGGGAACCGACTGTCCTCAGAAAAGTTCAGATGGCATTGTAATTTCATCTTGCCTACAATGCCTGATAAAGCAGTGGCTGTTTTGCACTAACCTAATTTCTGCCGTTTCAAAAGCCCCACCTGCTTGGCAGAGAATGAATGTGCATTTTCAATTAGCCCGTCTGCTGCTTTAGTTCAGACCAATGCAAAAATCAACCCATGTTTATATGTAGCAAACAAGCAGATTTGTAAATGTGAACGAAGATAGATATATATTTATATGTTTTAAATTAATATAATAATTTATATGTTTGACTCATCCCTTTTCTTAAAAATGGTTTAAAGGCTGAAATGAGATCATGAAATGTGTATCACTTTATGGTTTAATATGTCATTGCCCTACCCTGCTCACAGTGTTAATTTTATTTGTGCAGGCTTTAAAAAGGGTCATAAAAAGCCTTAAACTGATTTTTTACCCTGTAAATAGTAAAATAAAATTCCTTCCTTGATATTTGTGCTTTGAAAATGATTTTGATTGGCTTTTTTCTATATTTAATAAAATGATCCTTTTTTTATCTGGGCTAATTAATTAATTTATAATAATATAATATCCTGAGGCTGCGTTTACACTTGGCATTAACATGCGACCTGTATCCGGATGTTGTCCACATACACATTGAAAAGACAAGTGTAAACGCGCTTCTGATCGGAATGTTATCCGATCATCATGTCCTGGTCCAGAGGTAGTCGAGGACGCATTGTGATTCAGATCTCAGTGTAATGTAAACGCAATCCAGCCATCGTGTCTGCATTCGCAGGTCGACATCATGCAAAACGCCGCCCCCTCTCACCCCGAACTGTCAGAAAAAAAGACGGAGAACACCCGTGTGGAACGCTAGTGAGACTCCCACACTTATCTTTGATTTTGTAAAATGTCCCGCGACTGAAAACACTTTTCAAAAGAAAACCCACCACTTCAGGTTGACGTTGCACCGGACCATTCGCTGCAGACTTATTTAAATATTGCGCGGGAAAGACAGATCCGATCG